CCGAGTTCAGTTGTCTCTGTGATCCTGAGCTCCTGGGTGGAAGAACTCTTGGGACTCAGGCCACCTCTGGGATCCTGATATCCTGTTGCTCTGAGGGCAGTGGTTCCTCTAGGATAACTCAGGATATGATGTCTTCATGGGAGCAGACCATCTAGGTGTTCACTGCTCTGAGTGGAGTGGCTGCTCAGGAATGGCTCAGGATATGGTGTCTTCACTGGAGCAGACCAGCTAGGTGTCTGCTCCAGCCAAAAGGACCAAAGGAGGGGCAGAATTGGAATAGTATTCTGGAAGGGCAAGGTTTGGGTGGCTGTTGGGTTCTAAGTGCCCCAGGTTCCCAGTTGTAGCTCTGGGGTGTAGGGGAGTGGGAAGGGGTTTTTACTCGCTGCTCTGAGTGCAGTGGCTCTTCTAGGATGTCTCAGGATATAGTGTTTTCATGGGAGCAGACCAGCTAGGTTTCTGTCCCAAAAGGACCCAAGCAAGGGGAGGAAGGGCTGGTATAAATTTCTTAAATTACTGATACTTAGGTATTTCTCACAGTTTTAACTTTCTTCAATTCATCCATTCATCCAGTGTTTAAAGAATTACTGAATCCAAATTGAGAGACTTTGTAAGACTCTTGGGGAGCCAGAGACGCCCTGAGTGAATCCCTGAGTGTAAACATAAATCGATGCAAAAAAGCAAGAGGAATTTTAATTGGTCCAATGCATTGGGGCCATCCTACACCAAAGGTGGAATGGTGACCCCAGGCAGCCTATTTGGTCATTTTTTATACAGTTTAAGGGGTGGAGTAGACTAGGCACAGTATGATTGGCAGAACAGTGTGACTTTAAAACTGATTGGTCTTTGGGGAATGAAGTGGCAAGGACATCCCTTGTCTGTAAGTGGCAAGGATTGGTCAGTCCTGTGGAATGTGTCTGTGTGCTCTGGGCCTTCTTCACCTGCAAGCATGTTCCCTCCCCTGTGGTCCGAGGTATGTTAATCAGCCTCTCCCTTCCTCCTCTGAATGTTAATCCAGCAAGTGACCTCTGACTAAGGAATGTTAATTAGTGTCTCTCCATGGGGAGTGTGTGTGTGTGTGTGGGGGAGACAAGTGTTCCAAAGTTCCTCTT